CCGCGGACCAGAAGCTGGTTGCCGGTACCCTAAAGGAACTGGCCGAGGTCGAGATGGGCCGGCCTCTGCACAGCTTGGTGTTGATCGGAAAGAGAGCGCACGACCTGGAGAAGGACTACATCCGGGAGTTCGCTGTCGACAAGGCCACCTTCGACGCTAGCTGGCAGAACGGCGGATACGGTACGATGTAAAGACCGTCGCTGATGAGGAACGAAACCAAAATAGATAGAAATTCATCACGCCAACAATGAACACTGCTAATGAAATCACATGCACGAACCCAAACACCCAAACCCGCTGTTCTGGTAGAAAAAAAAAATGCTAGCAACTAGCCACGCACACGTCATAAGCCGTAGAGAGGATTGCGATGTAGCCATAGCCGTGGCCATCAAGCTGTTCGCCTAGCAAACAATCGAGTCAACCGTTCGGGGAATCGCATCTATACAATCGCAATCACCGTTAGCAAAAGATTCATCGAAAATCAACCAAAAGAATAACCCACCGTAGCAGAAGAAGGCGTCTCCGGCGGCGTCTGCGTCTGATCACTCTCATACTCTCCACCATCGGCATAGCTCCCCTCCTCGTCGTATCCATCATCAAAACTATCCCCATCTTCCTCCTCATCGTGAGGGAACCACCTCTCCGGATCGCCGTTATACACAATCCACCAGCCAATGCGCTCACCAGCCGCATACTTATCCCGAAACTCCGTCAGGGCATCCATGGCGTCCTTCTCCAACGGCTCCTCCTTGAAAATGTCCTCTGGCTTCCAGCTCGTCTCGGGAGTAGGGCCGACATCCTCGGGGATGGAGATGACTTTCCCACCGACGTAGGCGTATGGCTTGCTAACTGCGTCGTCGCTTGTGTCTTCGGGATCGTATTGCTCGATGAAGCGGAGGTTAGGTAGACGGGAGACGATGCTTGGTTCGGTCTTTTTGAGCGATTCCATGACCAGTTCGCTGGTTAGGGGCTGTTGGAGGTATTCGGCTGTTGCATCTTCCAGGTTGTGGAGAACAATGTATACGCGGATGCCGGTAAAGCCGGCGCGCGGCCAGCGAAAGCCGTAGAGCATGTAAACGGGCATTTTATTTATTTTGATCTGCCGTCTGCAGAGATTTGTTGGATGGTAGTTGGTGTGGTAGTGGTGAGAAGGGGGTGTGTGGCGGGGGGGAGGGAAATGAGGAGAGTGGGCGAAGCAAGGGAGGAGGTGCTGTTTTATGAATGAGGTGATCGGTAGTATTGTGGGGAGGAGGAGTAGTTCATATTAAGATCGGGATCTCGGCGAGGTGAGGAGAGAAGTGGAGAGAAGGATGAAAGAGAGAGAAAGACAGAGAAAAGATCGTGAAGGTCTAGGGGTTGCGCATTGCGGATTCGGGTTGGGGGAAATAGTTGGTTGCACAGCGCGGGATGGGATAGATAATATGCAGGGGAAAGAATGAAAGAGAAAAAGGCGAAAAGAGCAGAAAAAGGCAGATGATATATGCAGGGTCTCTCCGTGAGGCCGGATTCGAATGTTGGCTTCTTTGTTTGTTCTCTTGTTTACCACCTATCTAGAGAGGACTAATGATTTAACGGTTGGGCTGGATTAAAAGGAGAGAAGAACTGTAGAAGAGACTATTGATTTCCAGAGATCCTAGCGAGCAGTCGGGTGAAAGCAATGGAAATCAATCTCATTATGCTGGTTGTCTGCAGATTCGATCTGGAAAGCTTAAAGTCAATCGGTGACCCAACGGTCAAAGCGGTCAGTACTGGCAGTATGGAGTCTCGACTCGCATTGTCCGCCGGAGACACCGCGGAGAACAAGTGACGCCCCCGTTGCACTTCTGGCTTTGCTGATTTACCCCCTCATTGGTCTCCTCCCTTGCAATTACTACTTACGGGATGGTTCTCTCATTTATTCTGGTGCAGAATCGCCAGTAAGTCATACCCCGCGTTCCCCCGGGATGCCCCCATCTCCATGCATGAAATACACCCCCCCTAACGCAGGAACAGGGGGAAGACGCGGCTCGCGAAATGGTATGCGCCGTATAGCGTAAGTGCAACCCTACTTGGACAGATTCGAATGTCATCTAACACTCTGAATTTATCATAGGATGAAGAAAAAGTCAAGCTAAAGGGCGAGGTTCGTTATACGCCCCTCCCGACAACTACCACCACCAGTACTACTACACCCCGCCGCGGAACGACTTATTAATGTATGCTGGATAGGTCCATCGCCTGGTCGCCCCGCGAGACCAGAAATACCAGTCCAATTTTGTCGAGTTCAAGAGGAGTACCAAGGTCGTCTACCGGAGATATGCGGGGTTATTCTTCTGCGCCTGCGTCGATGCTACCGACAACGAACTGGCCTACCTCGAGGCGATTCATTTCTTCGTCGAAGTGTTGGACCAGTTCTTTGGAAACGTCTGTGAGCTAGACTTGGTGTTCAACTTCTACAAGGTAAGTGAGCTATAGGCTGGAGGAGGAAGTTACTGGGATTGTCTGGGATCGGAAGAGAGTAGCAGACGGATGGGCTGATGGTTGTACAGGTATACGCTATTCTGGACGAGGTGTTCCTTGCAGGTGAAATTGAAGAAACAAGCAAGCAAGTCGTATTGACAAGGTTGGAACACTTGGATAAGCTGGAATGAGGGAGATAATATCGGGGGGTATAGCAAGAAGGGAGAAGTATAAAGATCGCTTCATGGCGATACAATTGCATATATGACCACGGGACATGGTCAAGAGGAGTTAGGGGTTCATTAGGCTGATATCAAGTCTGGGCGTGTTTCTTTATATATCACTATTGCATGCGGTTGTTTCCAATGTTGTATGTGGTTGGCGACTGTTAATACCCTTTCTGGTTAACCTGCGTCCTACTGTCCAATCGAGTAGATTCCATTCAAATAAGCGCCATGCGATGCCTGTAATGAGTGCACTTATAGCCGTTCTCAGGGCCACTTTCAGGGTCTGCCAGGGGTCCCGGTGAACCTCACAGGGACCAAGTGTGTCCGCTATTTTTTACACTCACCACGGGTATGGCTGCTGCCTGACCTCCAACAGCCGACTTTCACTGCCGCGATGCTTGACAGCGGATCACCCGAGACATCTCACAACTGAGACCGGACCACTCAACGCAGCCAGCACGCAACGGCCGCGCCATCAAAATAATTTAAGCTTATCTGTCAATGACAGGGCTAACAGGACTCCGTAGTTCGTCTCCATTCCAGAAATGTGGTTGATTGTGGGTGCTTTCAACTGGGGGAGGGTTGCTTCCTGCCTGGGTCGACATGCCCCGGGGAGATGAGGTGATTGCGGGCGGCGATTGCGAGCCTGCCAACGACGATGGTGACAGCAGCTCTTGGCAATCCATACATAAGGGGCCTCTCACCCTGATCACACTCTTTCTTCTGATGGATTTGCTTTGCTTGATGCACGACTGCACCGTTACCCTGCACGCTTATGTTGGTCATCGCATCCGGCCTACCTGGATGGCCTGAGGACACCGTTTTCGACAACCCTCTCACTCCGGAAGCACACCTCCTTGTTGGCTCTAATGGTCCGACAAGCACTGGCCTTGGATCGGTGAACTGTGACGGAGATTGATTGACGGCACCGGCACTTGGGACCTACCAACCGTCTCAATCGCGTTACACCGTCCGTACGCAGGAAAAGGATTGCCGCTGTATCACCTCTGTCTCGGCTTCATGAACTGTTCAACAACGTCCAAGCTGGCCTGTCTTGCTGATAATGCCGCACCGGCTCATGCTCCGTAGCAGAAACCGGAAGGAGAGGGCAGATCCTCATCAGACTACGCAGAATTCACCCACCAGTCGTGTTGCGATCATCCATCGTGGAGATAAACCGCCGTGACAAGTTGATAACGTTACCTAACGCATCACCATTTCGGTCGAGCGCATGCAGTTCGACGGAGATTTGGGGATTGGAATCCCATGGGTCCACCGCCCCACGTCGGAGGGCTCGCCAGTGATAGCGGTCCTTGATATGGGCAGGTTGATGGGGCTTACGACGATTCATCTAACGACTGGTCGTCTGATTGATTGATAGGGGACGGGATACATGCCCACTTTGCCCAGATGATTATCAGTCGAGCTTTTGGCCTATCACTCCGCCAATTTCCAACTTACTCCCAACTTTGTCCCTAGATGCGCGGTTTTTGAAAAAAAAAAAAAAAAAAAAAAAAAAAAAAAAAAAAAAAAAAAAAAGGGGGGAGGCAGAAAATGAGGGATCAGGGAATTTCAAGAAACCTTAGGAAATAACTCTCGTTGAACCAGCCTGCTCGCCTTCACGACCGCATAGGCCTTCGAGACTTTTCTGGCTTGCGGAGAGGGCGGCACTAGTCAATTCCACTTTCACGGGGCAGTCGGACTAGTTGACCGTAGCACCAGCTTGGACTGGGTCGGGTAAGGCGAGTTTCAATTTTCTAGGCTCGGCCGTAACAACCAAGACGAGGCAAGTCGGAAGTGCGTGGGGATTGTCTGATTCTGCGTGTTCATAACATGTGGAGACTGGTTTCGCAGACGGATCATCTTGAGTTTGCCTCTTTGGTTCGGAAACGACTATTGCAGTAAAGTTGACGCCGTCCTCTTGCTGAGCCACCACCACACGTCACGTCGCAGGTGCTTGCGAGGTGGACAGACATCTGAAGTGGTCAAATTGGTAGATGAGCAAGCGTCAGCAAAGAGGTCTATGTCACTTTGTCAGGTCTATTTGCGTCGCATGATACACTGACCAAATGCACCTGTTCTCATGGGCAAGTCGGGGAAATTATTCGCTCGAATATCTCCTGACGGTTAACCTTAGACAGCCCGTGCCTCGGGATATTGTGGGTACACAGCCTATACGGGCAACATATAATCCACTGTCAGAGTTGATCACATCCAAGGGCGGCGTTCCACGAGGTATCACACTATTGTATCTTTAATCTGACCAGTTCAAGTCTAGAAATGCTTGCCCCGAAGGTTATTACCATGCACCGTTACAATTGGCGCAGAGGGATAGAATCGATGAGGCTTGGACAAGTTACGCGGACGACGACGTGGAAGTGTACTGCCGCCACCAGATGGAGACAACCGTTCAAGCTCCAAGTCGTTCCACAGTGGAACAAAGGCACGGGTCGGTGTCAGGGCATCCGCACGGCAATATTGTGGACACTGAAGTTCTGAACAGCACTGGAGTGGATGGTGTCAGGCTTTGGACTCGCAAGTCAAGCTCTAGGCAGACGCTTAGATTGCCTACCTGGGATACTCGAAACATGATATCTGGCAAGAGCTTCCTCTTTCGTGTGTTGTACACCGTATAGGACCTTAATAGTTCGTAGAAAAGTTGTCGATCTTTCTCTAGATCCACAGTGAGATAGGACAAGTTCCAACACCGCTCTAAGCTTTCTTTCTCTGTAGTGGGATCAGGGTCATGTCCAACGCACTTGAATGCAATGTCTTGATTGTGACGGCTCATTTGCACGCACGCTTTACGGAGGCTTCCCGGAAAAGCTTGCTTTCAATGTCGCCGCAGATGTGGGGCTTCTATAGATGGATTCAGATTCGAGAGCCATATACTTTGTAGCTTGTGAGGACACAGATCCAGTTCGTTCCGGGTTGCTTTGAACGGCCTGGACAGGCAGTAATCCACGTATTCAGGTGTCATAGCGCCATGGTTATTGTGAGAGCGATCCAAGCGATCTTCTACCGTCTGTCTGGCAATAGATCTGTATACCAAACAGTGAAGGGTGAAGAGTCGTCAAGATTAGATGCTCATGGTGTTGACCAGGATGAGAGACTAGCCGGATTGGGATAGCAGCACGGAAAGGAGTGAAATGGAGAGAACTGATGAACTAATGCCACTCCCAGCCATGCTACTTACACACTACCTTTGTTATTCCATGCCGGCTTACAGAACAAGGAATCCATGGGTGAACATTCCATGTCCGAAGTATACACATCGAAGACGACTCTGCAGGTCATACAAATCTCAAAGCAGAATGGGTGTGTTGGTAAACACCGCAGCTCAGCATAGTTTGCAGAGATTTCCACCCTTACACCGCACAGGTAGGAATGCAGGGGCATACTCAGTATGATACGTAACAGAACAGACCCTGGAGTATGGTGGAGATGGAAGGAGAGAAATAGAATACGTTTCAGGCCTTTTCTTTGCTTCGCATTTCGTAACTCGTACCATGTATGTATCCCTGAGCGGAGACCATGCTGGAAATTGACACGCACGGCTCTTTTTCTTTCCATCTTTCATATGTTCGAAGTAGAAAGGTTCGACCATTATTTCCCCCCTTTTTTGTTTTTTACCCTGTTCTTTATTTTTACTTGTTGGTATGGCGTGGGTGGCTTAACATTAGCCCGGGCGGGGAGTGGCACTATCCAGCAACAGACGGAGAAATGTACGCGTCGTCAACTGTGGCTTCAACCAATGAGTGCGAGTCCGGGCACGGTTCGACAGCTGAGCCTATGAGGACAAGATCCAATCCAGAGAATCCAGAAGCTCAACGATCGACCGGCGAAACGCAGGCCTACGCGGCCGATCCCTGGGATGCAGCGACAGCCGGGCTTGGCATGTTTCCATCTTCTCTTCTTCCCCTTCCCCTTCTGCTTCTTTCTTCTTGCTGGGAGCCCCGCCGCGCACCGCTGCTGGGTCTTCCGGAAATCGAATTGATTGATTCCCTGAATCGCCTCTCGCCTCCTGCTCGCTTGTGACTGGCCCAACACCTCGGGTTTCCCCTTGGCGAGATTCGTGGAAATTCATCTGCTTCCTCATGTTGAGTGGAGGAGAACCAAATCCACCCCCTGACTATCCTTCTGGCTTTTTTGGGTGAACGTCAGCCGGTGACGTCTATTTTCCTGTCGGTTAATCCAAGGTTTCCTTTTTTGGGGGGAGAGGGGAGGGACCTGACTATGGATGGATGGATGGATGGGTTCCCCTTCGGTTATACTTTGTACCCCAGGAGTACTACCCTACTCTATTATTGGCCCTACATTACTATCGACAAGGTGGTTTATCAATGTCACTTCCATCCTTGTGAGGAATGTTTGCAGAACGTGGGCTGAGCAACCGGCGGGTCTCCGCCGGGGAAAGGAAGGGATGGAGGGGATGGAAATGAATAATCGATTGAAACGAGGGAACAAGAATCACTCGAGTCAAGAAGAAAAAACTAAAAAAAACATAATAATTTTGACAACAAAAAGTATACTTGGGGGAAAGGAAATAAACGCACGCCGTTTCAGAAGTATTCATGTTTCCAATGGTCCAGAGAAGTGGATGAAGATCCAAACGACCGGCCAGACCAATCCAAGGTTTCCGTCGCGGAGTTCCCCAGAAGACAGGAAAGTTGCCACATTCAGTCTGGCCGTCATTTACTATTATTCAAAATATTCAAAATCCAGAAATTGCAGATAATTTAATTTACTCTTTCGGCGCAGAGGCGCCAAGGTGCTTTTCCTAGTCTGATCTTATTATTACCCTCCCACCATCGAGACTAGCCTTTCTGGGTCCTTCTGGGTTATCTACGACTCCATCACCTTGATTGTTCTTGATCTACTCCCGGGCTCCTTTTAATCTCTGCAACGCCTGCTCTGGAATCCACTTCTTTCTTTCTTTCTTCTCTTCCATTCTTTTCTCTTGTCTCTATCCTTGTCTGTCTGTCTGTCTTCCTCGGGTTGGATTCAGTTCGTCTTCTGTCCTTAGACCTGTTCCTTCCTTTGCGACCAGCGGTCCCTTGCAGAGTAACACCTTCATTACTACTACACTACACCCCCAGCGAGCCCCCGGGTAGTACATCCAGTTCGCGTTACTATACTACTTCAAACCACACATCAATCTCCGCCGATAATTCATCATGTCTTTGATTCACGCCGACAACTTGGCTCCCCAGCCAATCACTGATATCTTCACCGATGACACCTGCATCGACCGCCGCAAGTGCCACCGCACCGTGCCCATGAAGGTGCTGGCTCTGGGTGTGGGGAGAACTGGAACTGCTTGTAGGTGCTACTTCGGAGGCAGACGACGGATTGCATGACTGACTGTCTCTGTGAACAGCCCTCCGCATTGCCCTCGAACGTCTGGGCTACGTCAAGACCTACCACATGATGTCCGCCAGTATGGAGAACCCTCCCGACTGCCTGATGTGGCACGATGCTCTCGCTGCCAAGTACGACGGTGTCGGCGAGTTCGGTAGAAAGGAATGGGACCAGCTTCTGGGAGACTGCCAGGTAGGTTGCTACTATAGATCACTCGCAACGAACTCGCACGCTGACTATTTCAAAGGCCGTCTGTGACTGGCCTGCCTGTGCCTTTGCCAAGGAGCTGATCGAGGCCTACCCCAACGCCAAGGTCATTCTGACCACCCGTGAGGTTGAGTCGTGGCATGCGTATGTTATACTCTGTCGTTCTGCGATCCGAAGCACAGTCTAATTGATTTCCTATAGTTCCGTCATGAAGACCGTTTGGTGGCGCGTCTCCGACCCTGAGCACAAGTTCGTTTCGAACTTCAGCTGGGCCGCTAGCATGTACTACCCCATGCTCAACAAGTTCTTCCAGACCTTCTTCCGCGGCGACTTCCCCAACAAGGGCAAGCAGGTCTACCTTGACCACGTCGAGGAGGTCCGCAGCCTGGTTCCTCCCGAGAGGCTCCTCGAGTACAAGATCGGCGAGGGCTGGGGCCCGCTTTGCGAGTTCCTGGGCGAGGAGGTCCCCGACACTCCTTTCCCCCGCGGTAACGACATGGCCGACTTCTTCAAGCGCTGCCGCGGCCGCAACAGGCGCCAGATGCTGAACGCCGCTCTGCAGGCTGTCACCATGGGTGGTGCTCTGCTGGCGACCGGCTTGGTTGCTACCATGGCCTTCAAGCGTTTCTCTCGGTAGATGCGCTTGCTTGCTGCCTGATTTGCTGGATTTCCTTTCGTTTTTTCCCTTTGCAGCATGCGCTGGGCGCCAATGCTGGGGATCTTTGCTCTATTTCCCCTAATTATTCCCAAAATTGCTTTTCTCTTGTTGATATATACCGATGAGCGTACCACCTTCTCAGGGGTATTTGTTGCTAATACTGTGCACTGATGTTCTGCTATTTCCCTTGGCTCTTGGCTGGGTTTTTCGCTCTATGGCTTACAGTGGGGGGGATTTTCTTGGCTATGTTGGTTAGACTTATTGCGCAGGGATCGGTCTTGGATTCTTGTTGCCTGGCGTGGATGGAGTCGACGAGAGATGAATATAGATTATTTAGCCTATTAACATGGTTGCTTCCGTATGGTGTATTCTTGGGCGGGGGTTTGTAATGTGTAAGTAATCTGTAGGCGAGCCTCGGCATGCGGTGTCACAGCCAACAACTCCAACCACCCTTCCCCCTTGCCCTCGCACGGTGGAAGGCGCCGAGCATCCGTCTTGGCCTGCATAGGGAGTTGTCGCGCGCCCTACAAGGCCATGGCGGTCGCTGACATGGGCTGTGCGACTCAACCCGTTGTGCTTGGCACGTCCTCGGCGGCGCGGTTCCCAGCCCAATCCAATCCTTGTCATACTTATCACACAGCCTTGGATGTATGCGAGCTGAGCCTGGCGGTAAGCACAGCGTTCATAATGCTCATTGATCAGATACTAACTCCGCTCGGTACTTCGGACTTGCGTACAGCAGATCTATCGACCCAGCTGCATGCATAAGGCGCCCGCCCAGCGCATGACGGAAATTAAACCAGCCATACCAATAAGCCGTACGGAGTAGATACTCATTGCCAGTTGGCAACAAGAAAGTACAACATTACAATCCTAATGCGCAATGTCGAGCAGCACGTGGAACATAATCCAATGAGCCTAGCATAAATCACTCAAAAAGATCGGAACTACTACATTTAACCAGCTAGTTGGTCGGTCGGTTGGTCAACAGATTATGCAAGCCATGACTCTCAAAAATGAGCGGCTCCTACACCCGCCGCCTCCGCCGCGTAAACTTGAAGCTGTGCTGCGACGAAAGGGGGGGGTGGTGTGGTGTGGCGGCGCCTATAAATAGAGTTCCGCTGATACAGCCAAGGATTTGGAGATGAGGGTGCAGCGCTTACGTTCAAGGCTCTAAGATTGTACGTAGTATACGTAGAGTGTCGTGTTGTGTTGTGCTGTGATGCATCCAATGCAGCATAAGGAAAGTACATGTTCTGCAAGCGCCAGGATTCAAATGTCTGTGTGACCCGTGATCCGGTGTCGTATTCGGTTAGATATTTTCGTTTCCTTTCTGTCTCTTTTGTTTTGGACTATTGGATTGCTGCCAAGCCATTCAGGCACTGTTTATTGTTGGGGTTGTCTCCATTGTTCATTTCGCTTTTCTTTTCATGTAGATGACTAAGCGTGACAGGCTCAATGATGAACACAGCCAGCCAGCCATGAGATTCTCAACCACATGCATAACTACTTATCTACCTTCACTATCAAACTCTCCAAGCAACGACCATCTACAAAATAGGTGCTCAAGAATCCTATCCCCTACCATAGCCGGGAGCCCTGACTAGCACTCCAATTCCGGCCCGGCAAATAATTTACCTACCTCGACTAGACAGGTACCTAGTACCTAGTGAAAGGCCCAGCCCATCAACTAATCAATCAATCAAACTAAAAGAGTGGAGAAGTCTCCTTCCTGGCAACTCCACCAGTTTTCTCTTTCTCTTGCTCCAACCACAACCGTGGCGTGACGTGGCGTCGGCATGGGTCCCCCCCCTTCTCTCAGTTCAGCCCCTTGGTCTAGCCTGAACATGAAATCCATGAAGTTTTGCCTGTGGCAGCGTGGCGACTATTCCTGATTGGGCGTTAGATTCGGCGTTAACGAAACACACCCAATTTGCCCGGGAGGTTGTTGGTTCCATGGTTTACCGGGTCCGTACGGATGTAAATATACCCCCCGGTAATGGGTTACGTGTGTGTAGCGCATCTATCTTTATCTCTAGTAGTCAGAGTAATTAGCGGTGTTATTTGAAGGGTTCAAGGGAGGATCTAATTATCTAGTGGCGGCTGCTTTTATTAGCTAGCTGGAAGAGTCGTTCAATTGGTGCTGTGATTTGTGCTAGTTGGGATGTGAGGACTGGCGTGGATTAGACTAGATGGGGTTGGGGAAGGCACTACGTGGAAGGGGTACGTATGTTCTCTCTCTGCAAGATGGTAGTACTAGTTTACACACCGTGGCTGTGAGCTGAGGACAAGGTAGATTGGGGTTCAACTCTTTGCTTTTTATACCTTTTATTTCGTTGATTCTTCTGGCTGCTTTTATGGTGTGTATGCATTTATATCATCATTATCTTTTGGATTCGTTGGAGTACTTGAATGCGATTCTGCTGCTATACAGAATGGGCAATGTTGCTGTAGACGGAACGCTCTATTCATAGGGATAAAATGAGGATGATCAGGAGGTCATGTCTACGTAGTACTTCAACGTGTCTCTGTAAATAAGTGCCCGAACTAAGCATTGGGATAGACAATTCTCCTAGTTACGAGGCAGGTGCCAAATGCGCCACAAAGATCGCCTATCTTTGCGCAACGTGATGACGATTAGAGTTGTGGAAATTCACAACTGTAATTATCTTGCTATTACTATACTACTATACCTTGGAACATATCTTTCTCTGACAGACCGTATCATTATCTGTCATATGTCGGTATGGACCAACACACGCTGCTGCCTCTGTATGCCATGCCAACTGTGCCTCTGCGTCTGAGGTATGGAGATTTCAATCCCTGCTGCTGCACGACTGCAATAAACATGAACAGCCAGTGCCAGATTGGGGTGGGGATCTTTATCCTGTCCCCGCCCCGATCAACCAATGACGGTTTGTAGCCACTACATTTCCAGAACTCCGGCTCGCCATGGCTAATCCACATTGGGTGTCATCGTACGTTGGCCGGGCTTGGCATGACTCCACCGACGAAACGAGGAAATCGGGTGTAACGAACTGTGGCCAGCCTGAAGCATAAAGCAGGATTGCCAAACGTTATCCTCGGCGGTTTGCGGGCAAAAAAAGCAGACCAGAGGGAAAAAAAAGAGGATTCAAACAGAAGGAGAGGAAGAAAGTCGAGAGCGTCCTGTGGTTCTTTGTTTCGCCGCTTTCGTCTCCTCTACTATCTCTCTCCCTCTCGCCCTCTCTTCCTCCCTTTATATCATCAAGCGCTGATCCCTTCCCCTACTCTCCCCCGATCTTCCCCCATTCTTTCATCCCTGTATACATACTTCGGTACATACCTTGACACCCCGATCAGGTGGCCCTGCATTGACTGTGGGATTTTCTCGCCATCCGCATCTGTTCTTCATCTTTCAATCGACATTCCTTTTTCTCTGTTTCCCTCTCGCTCATTCGATCTTCCTATCAACTTCCGAGCTCACTCCGAGCAAGTGATGTAAAGAATCCATGGTGGCCTTCACTCATATCGCCGGGGGATCGGCTCCGTCCTCCATAGTCGCTTGTGTGGCGCTATTACTATTCGCATGCCTTCACACTGTTGTCGCAGAGATTGATTCAGTCTTCAAATCTGTGAGTTGCGCCCGCTTTAGCGTTATCGCAGCTGCTTGCACGCAATAGTAGCCAAGATGTTCGCCACCCGGATCGCTAACCTTGTCTCGACGTCCACCTGCAGCGACCCGATCTCTATCCTCCAGTCCTTACTTTGGAACATAGAGTTCCCGACAAGCTAAGCCCAGGTTACATCTTTGTCGGCCCGTACGAAGCGTCCAATTCCGGCCCGTATATCTATGATGATGAGGGGGTATGCTTCTGATATTCCCGCCCGAGTGTATCGTATGGTGTTGACCATGTTATAGAACCTAGTCTGGAGCGGCTGGGGTAACTCGGGCCCCGGAAATGCCCATGGGATGCACGTTTGCAAATACAAGGGAAAGGATCACTTGTGTTTCTTTCAGGGTGTTCAACAGAATGGGTATTGTCGAGGTCATGGAGTCATCATGGATGACCACTATCGCATCGTCCGAACCGTGGTTCCCGGAGGCGGCATGGCATCCAGCGATATGCACGAATTCATGCCTATCAATGACGGCAAGACTGCCTTGATGACGGTTTACCAGCAGCGACAGTTCGACATGTCCCCGTGGAATGTGAAATCCGGCATGGGATGGGTGATGGAGAGTATCTTCCAGGAGGTGGATGTGGAGACCAACGAAGTTCTGTTCGAGTGGAAGTCCCTCGACCACGTCGACCCTTCGGATGCCTACACCTGGCCTAGTCACACGGATACGTCGGGCACTGGGCTGGACCCGCGCTCGCCCTGGGATTACTTCCATATCAACTCGATCGACAAGAACGCCGACGGCGATTATTTGATCTCTTCGCGCCACACGTGCGCGATCTACAAGATCTCCGGCAAGGACGGATCCATCATCTGGCGGTTGCATGGAGCGCATCCCACGTTTAAGAACATCAACTTCAGTTTCTCGCAGCAGCACGATGCGCGGTGGCTTGGTGAAAACTCCACCCACACTCTGCTGTCTCTGTACAACAACGGCTTCAATGGGTTCAACCGCACTCACGACTTCTCCTCGGGCATGATCATCTTGATCGATCACCAAGATAAAACCGCCACTCAGCTGCACGACTACTCTCCTCCCGGGAAGACCATGATCAGCTCCAGCCAAGGTAACATGCAAGTCCTTCCGAACAAGAACGTATTCATTGGATGGGGTAACAACGCCTATGTTTCGGAACATGACGAAGAAGGCAACGTGCTGCTCTGGGGCTACATCGACAAGGATCGCATCATGAACTACCGGGCGCAAAAGTTCGAATGGGATGGAATGCCTACCGACGTGCCGGCTCTCTGGACGTACTCGCAATCTACCGACACCTTCTCTCCGACGACGTTCTACGTCAGCTGGAACGGGGCTACGCGTGTGAAGTACTGGCGGTTCTACGGCGCGACCAACTCCACTGGCCCGTATATGCTCATCAAGCAGACCGAAAAGAGAGGATTCGAGACGAGCTACTCAGCACCGCACTTCTACCGCTGGACCTACGCGGAGGCGGTGGATGTGGAGGGCAAGGTTCTGGGCAAGTCGCGCAGCATGTTCACCTTCACGCCGTCGCCCGATCTCCAGAGCTACTGTGGCAGGGAATCATGTGAGAATGCGCAGACGTATGGAATGCCCGGCGAGGAGGGCGCTGGACCTGCGATTCCCCCGGCTGGAATCAACACCGTTCCTTGGATCGATCCTGATCACCCTGATGCACACTTCGATTGGGGT